GTCCATTGTAAGTAATTGCCATACTCCTTCTGGAGGTTTTATCGGTTTTAAAGCACCTGGTGGTTTTTGTCGTAGTGGATTGTTTTTTAAACGAGGTAGACATGATTGCACGTAATTTCGAATATCAGAAACCATATTTGGCCAAAAGTAACGCTGTTGAATTTTTTGGATAGTTTTATTCTGACCAAAGTATGCACCATTTGCAGGCGTATCATGATAAATTTTGATTATGTCTAAACGGATTCGTCCTTTAGGTATAACGGGGACTGGTAGGAATCTTTTCTTCATTAACAGATTATTTTTAACAAAATATTCTTTGTAGCTCTTGATGTTGTGAATGATGTTGTTAATTTCATCATCTTGATGTTGTAATTCTTTTATTTGTTCCAATGTAAATGGTATTATTCTGTCAGAGTCGGTGTTGTGGATCGATGTTGGTAGTTGCTCGGCTTTTGAAACATAGGAATGGTCGATTGATATGTCGGCATTCCTCTCTTGTCGATTTCCATTACAGGTCTGATCTGGTAAGTGATGATCAGTCCTCTCATTAAGCTGTTGTCTTGCTTGTCTACGAGTCATAATAGGTGCAATAATTTGTGTCTGGATATGATTATCAGTTTGTGTTGCTCTGGATGTCGTTGGAGTATAATCATCTTCATCATGTGTTCCCTTATCCACTGGTGCACGAGATAAATAATCGGCTACTGTATTGTATTTTCCATTAATATACCGGATAGTAAATTGATATTGTTGTAATTTTAAACGCCACCGTTCACATTTTGAATTTAATTGTTGTTTTAAATAAAATGGTAATAATGGTTTATGATCTGTTTCAATAATAAATGAATGTCCATCTAAATATTTGTGCCATTTTTCGATTGCACATATAATTGCATAACATTCTTGTTCTGTTGCTGGCCAATTCATTTGTGTCGTTGTAAATTTTTTTGATAAATAAGCTACTGGTAAATCACCGTTTGAATGAGTTTGCATAAGAACAGCTCCAATTCCAATTTTTGATGCATCGGTTTGTATCTTGAATGGTAAATTTTGATCTGGAATACGTAATACTAAGTCATGCGTTAATATTCGTTTTAATTCATTAAATGCATACATTTCATCATCTGATAAATTAATGAGAGTAGATTGTGATTTTTGTGATCGTTGTTCTTTTGTAGTAGGTGCGTATTGATATAATGGTTGTGCAATAGTAGAAAATCCTGGTATAAATTTACGATAATATTCAGCAGCTTTGACAAATCGAAAAGCTTCTTTCGCTGTTGTTGGCTGTTGAGTTTCTAATAATGCACGAATGTTGTCCGCATTTGGTTTAATATTGCTATGTTCGATGTGATGGCCAAGAAAATCAATTGCTGTTTTTGCTATTTGACATTTATTTACATTGAGACGAAAATTTGCATTGTGTAATCGGTTAAGAATATCATTGAGGTGAATGAGGTGTTGATCAAATGTTGGTGAATATATTATAACATCATCGAGATAAGCTAATGAATATTGCCATCTTGTAGGTCCGAGTATTTGACTGACAATGCGTTGAAATGCTGGTGGACCATTCGTAACACCTTGAGATAATACTGTAAATTGATAATGCTGATCTCGAGTTGAGAAAGCCGTTTTTGGACGATCTTTTGGGTCAAGTCCCACTTGAAAATAACCAGATTTAAAGTCGATGGTGGTATAATATTCAGCTTGTGATAAATGATCAAAAATATCATCAATTCGAGGCACAGGGAATGCATCTTTCGTCGAAATATTATTTAATTTCCTAAAATCAATACAAAATCGAACAGAACCATCTTTTTTCCTTACCAATACTATAAGCGATGACCATGGTGATGTAGATTCTTCGATTATTCCTTGCTCGAGTAATTTATCAATTTCTTCTCTCTGTATTTGTTCATCCTTGTAAGAAACACGATATGGTGGAGTATAAGTTGGTGGATGAGGGCCAGTTTCAATAGCATGATGTACTGTAGCTTTGATGATGGACGGTTGACGAATATCAAATAATTTGCCATGTTTCCATAAAAGTTGTTGTAATTGTTGTTGTTGTTTGTCGTCTTCGATGTGTTGAGTTAATTTTCCAATTTGTTCTCGCATTTCTGATGGATAACATGTTCGGCGTAAATGCTGTTGTAAATCATTCCGTGATAAAAATTGTTCTTGACATACATAACATTGATGTTCAGGATCGATATTGTCGTTCATTTGACAGGTAAAGTTCGTAGATTGAACTTTCCTCTTATTATTCATTGAAGGAACCCAGGAACGACTCACAAAAGAGTTGTTCCTTCTGTAAAAATTCGATGTTATAGGTGTTGATCGATCAGTTTTATTTTTTGTTAATACTGGTAAAATAAGATAGTTATTGGCTTTGGATTGATATGTAATATATCCTAATGATGTATTTTTCGATAAAGTCTTTTGACGATCATTTGCATTCAAAATCATAACTTGACTTCTGTTGTCTTCTAACTTAATTAATGCATTCGTAAGTAACATTTGTTTCGAATATAAATATGCTGCTGGTTCAAATAAAGCTTCGGTTATGTTCATTGTTGGTGATAATACTTTGATGTTAACGCATTTTTCGGAGTGCGGTGGAAGAGTAATTTCATCGGTTAATAGTACTGGTAATTGAAGGTGTGCAGGTTTAACGAATGTTGCTGTTGCTAGAATGTTTCGTTTGTTGTCAGTGAGATAAATGCATTGTTGTGGTGAATCGATAATAACATTGTTTGCTGTAATCCAATCATTTCCAAGTAATAAATCAGTAATAAGATTAGTTGCAACATCTGCTAAAATTAATGTTTTATATCCTTGTATTTTAATTTCAAGTTGAATTTCACCAATAATATTAATCGATGAACAATTGGCTGATTTGTGTAATTTCTTCTTGTAAGTAAATTCCTTATGATAAATTGTTTTTAATAATTGTTGATTAATAATGGTGATTGCAGATCCAGTATCGACAATAGCTTGATGTTGCTTATTATTTACTTGAACTTTTATATGAATAGGAGTTAATGATGTTGGTGACGTATAATTCGTTGTTGATGGATTTTCTTTACTACTGGAGTGACCACCATCACGGGTTCCAGCTAGTAGAAAACCTGTGGACAATCACGTATATGATGATCGGACTGTCCACATTTAAAACATCCATATAATTTCTTGTAATAACAATCAATTGTTCGATGATTAATGCGTCGGCATACACCACACGGTCGTCGTTGAGAATCATGTTGTGTAGGTGAATAAGGTTTAACATTTACGTCTTGACGTCGTGATGAATTATTAATTGATGAATAATGTGATTCCCGTTTATGTAAAATAGGTGATGGTCGGGAAGTTGAACTGTAATTTTGTTGTTGTGACTTTAATGAATCTAAAGGGTTGGATGATGGAGCATATTGTTTATATGTTGTGTGTCGTGATGGTGAGTATGTTGATGTTGGTATCCTTTCGGAGTTGCTTCGTGTTTGTTGTGCTGTTGTTGATACGGTATTCGTAATGTATGGTAAATAAGATTGTGTTGCTTGGAGTTCAGAAGAATCTTCTTCTTGTAATTCTTGTTCATCTTTAGCAATTTTTAAGAATCCTTGAATTGTTCGTGCTGACTCAGGTAACAATTTCATTTGTCGTTTAATTTGAGTCTTCAGTGAATCTTTAATTTCATTTTGTAACCACGATATCATTATTTTTTGCGACATGGATGAATCATATTCTCGACATAATTTGATGACAGCATCATAATACGATGTAATTGTTTCATCTGATTTTTGTTTTCGTTCTTTCAATTGTTCAAATATTTTCGATGCTGAATCCGATGTTGTAAATCTTTCTAATAATGCTGGTTTTAAATTTTCCCACTTGGCTAATGTCACGTTGTCTTCATACCAGCGTTTCGCTTCACCATCTAATTTTGCTGTACACATACAATGTAAAATATCATCATTTGCATTAATCATCCTTCCAATCCTTCCAATATTATTAATAAATTGTAAAACTTTTTGATCTTCACCACCATTGAATTTGTCCAAATTTGATAAGCATTCACGATAACATATCATCATTGCTGAATCTTGTGCAGTGTGAGACATTGTTTGAATTTGTTCGGTAGTATTATTTAATGAGTCCAGAGTTAATCTTTTTACTGTACGTTCAGATGTTTTTGTTAATAAATCATCAGTAAATTCTGGATCGTTACCAGCACTTCGAAGACTATAAGCCGTTATTTTAATATCAATAATAAAGTTACGATAATATAATGTTGAATTGAATTGATAACGTTGTATGTATAATAGTAATCGAGTAGTTCTCTTCTTTATTTTTTTCCTCTCAGACAATTCCCAATGAAACTATCTCTTTAATTCAATCGAGGTTTTCCAGGCAGCTTCCAATGGAGCTACCTTTAAATTAAATGAATAAAAAAAAATATAATCACTTACTGATATGCATATATTTTTTTAATTCCGATAGTATATGAAAAAATTTTTTTTTGTTGGTTCGTGTTTTGTTATTAATAAATAATAAAACAGTCGGTCACGGCACCAATATTAGGGGTTATTTCCAAAAAGAGAATAGATATGTATATAGAATGTCCTTGATGTTGAATCTTTATTTCAAAGGGAAAATAAGTGCATTCATATAACCTATATCATGCCCTTATATATACATATATCACCATGACTATCCAGGGAAACAATATATATATATGAATAGTGGAAAATAAAAGAGAAAAAGAAAAAGAAAATAACAATAGAGAATAACAAAATATGATATCTGTGAGGTAGCCCGTAACAGCAGGTAATGTGACTATTTTCGCTGACAAAGCTTCGAAATATATGATCGAAACCGAAGCTTAACAAGGGATTTCCAACGAACGTTGGGTTTTATCGGAAAATCTTCGATTAGTTACTATGCTTCTAGCTTCTCTCTTGAAAAATCGTGCCATTAATCATGAGCAACATAAGAAAATGTCTCCAAAAATAGATTCATTAGAATTGGCTCATCTTCATTTTATTCTGAAACCACATAAAGTAAGTTTATTTGTATTTATTGCCATTAGAAAGATATATATAAAATATGTAATTCTTTGAATTCATCTATTTATCTTTCATTTTCATAGCCCGATACACCATTACGGCCTATTGTAGCAGCTATTCATGCACCAGCAACAGAAATATCCAAATTTCTTAATGATCTATTAGCACCTAAATTTCTACGTGTTGCTCGACAAACTACATTTATTAATGGTATTGATCTTGTCCGAGCATTAGAAAAATATGCTGCCAATGACCATTTAAAATCAACCACTTTGTTTATTACTTTTGATGTTGAAAATCTTTATACAATGATACCACGACAAGGTGCTTTAGAAGTATTATTACAATTTCTAGAGCGAAATATACGTAATAATAAAATCGGTACATTACGTATTGATGATATTATGAGAATGGCTCATCTCGTATTGGATACGAATATTTTTGCTTATGAAAATAAATATTATCGACAAATACGTGGTGGAGCGATGGGATCTGCCTTTACCCAAACTTTAGCTAATATTTATATGCTAGATTGGGAACAACAACTAATGCATGACCAACAAGCAGATCAGGAAATTTATGGAAGATTTATTCAAAATGTTTGAGTGTTATTCAATACTACTTATAATATTTTCCTTATTTGCTTTAGATATTTTGATGATGTATTTATGACAACAAACTTAACACATGATCAAATCAAA